AGGGGGTCAAAGTTGCCAAGGGTCTTGACACCATAGCCATCAAGCACTGCAGTAAGCTCTGGAGCATATTCATTGTGCACCAGCATTCCCATCACCTTCCTGTCTGGGTAGTGCAAGTCCAGCACTCTGGAGTTGTCAATCTTCAGCTTGTTAAATCAGGCTCTTTGCTCCTTCAGAGGCAGACAAACAGCATTGGGCACATACAGGACTTGGAATCCAGGATCAGCATCTTCTTTAACTGTCATCCCATGGACAACAGCAGCAATAGCCTTGGCTGTAACAACCTTCTTCTTTTGAGGCCTAGCCTTGGAGGCACCAGCAGCAGCAGCCTTGGCATAGGATCCCTTTGTGAAGGTGGAGGCAGCAAGAGGAGGAAAGGCAGAAAGGACAGGCACACCAGGAACAGAAGAAGCACCAGGAGCAGAAGAAGTACCAGAAGAAACCAACTTGAGAAGCTCCTCAATCTTCTTCTCTGCAGCTGCCAGAGACTCTCTCAGCTTGATGTTCTCTGCTTGGACACACTCCAGAGCAGTAAGGCAGGCACCCTGGACCTTGAGCTGTTCCAGGACCATGGTCTGGAAGTCATCTTGGGAACCAAGTTGGAAAGAGGCACCATCCATGCTGTCCTCTGACAGAAAAGTGTGGTCACATTTGGCCAGGACACTTGGCGGAATACTGACATCACTGCCAGAAGAAACAGAAGGTGCAGGCACAGGAGCAGAGACAGAGGCAGAGACGGGAGACACAACAGATGGCACCCTGTTCTGGATTTTGTTAAGCATATCTTGCATGACAGAGGCAGAGAATGTTTGCAGGCACCTGCAACAAAACTGTGGGGCACCAGAGCAAGAGTTACTACCATTCATGGCAATCTTACCAGTCTGGCTGCATCTTTTGCACTTTAAATGGTGCAAATTGGTTAAGAATTCATCTCACAAGTGCTTCATAAGCCTATCTACAGGCTTCAGAGTGTTGGTGTCACGTGACTTGCTGGCGCCAATTATTTTAAGGGGCGACTGGCGAGGTGAAAAGTTTGCTGTGTGTTGCTGTATGGTGGTCTTGGAGGGTCAAAAATTAGAAAAGTAGATATCTTTATGGATAGAATGGATCTGTCAAAAGTAAAAACGGATTCAGGTGTGTTGGAGACTGATGTATGTTGTGTCCAAAGATGAGCCAATTCTAAAAACAAGTTGTAAGATTTGGCTGAGAATTAAATAAAAAGTGTGGAATAGCAAAGAAAGAGAGGGTGGTTTCTTGGTGTAGTTGGTTATCACGTCTGTCTAACACACAGACGGTCGCCAGTTCAAGTCTGGCAGAAATCATTTTCTTCATCTAATGAAGAAAGCTAAATCTTTTGAGATTTATTACTAAATTTAGTAAGGAATTCTATCAAATGTAATAAAGTTGTCATCTTTTAGATAGTATCACTGAGGTACAGTTAGGCTTATGGAATTTGGAGTTTTCTCAAAAATAAATGTCACAAGATTAGATTATTATTATTTTTTTTGTCACAACTTGCCAATTAACATTAGCCAGAATATTTTATTTAATTGGCACACCTTTTTGGCAACTTTTTTTTTTTTTACCTTTACTCTTGATAAAATATAATATAATGATGAATTCTTTTTATTTTTCTTTTTATTATTATTATTCTTATTATGAAGATGGACAAGAAAACATTTTTAATGAACAAGGTAAGAAAGTTTATGATCTAATAGAGGATGTTTTAATGCAAGCCAATAATCCCAACATAGTTCTTAAAACAATAACTAGTCAGGAAACTTACTTGAATGCTAAGCATCCTGAGAAAACTTCTGATGAGTCTTCAGCTAAAAAGCAGCCAAAATCTAGCAATTTGAGCCCACCAGTAAAAGCATATAGTGATTACAGCAATTTCACCTGGGAAATATTCATTGACTGTATTCTTGAAGTCCTCAAGAGCATAGACTAGTTGCTAAGGTTGCACAAAATCTGAATATTAAATATTGTACTGCATTAAGATGGTGGCATGTCTATGAAGAAACAGAAGAAATAGCATATAAAAAAAGTGAGCAAATGTTGTGTTCCAACTTCAATCCAAAGATTCTCTATGAATAAGTCAACACAAGTAGTGTGCTGTGACATTCAGAATACTCTATGAAAGCTTGAGTGCACACAAGTAACATAGTACATCTCTGTATCATCTCACTGATTGGTTGTAACTACAAATCACCTTCTAAAGCTCAGTGTACTATCAGACACTAAACAAGAGCCATCTTCATTAATAATCCTAACAGAACAATATTGACCTATCAGAGTCAATTGAGTAAAGACTCATAATAATTAATGGTTTCAATAATGGAGTGCTTATCCCAGGAACCAACCATAAGGTTGAATCTAATAATACTACAACTAAGTAAAACATATGAGCCAACCATAAGGTGGCAGTTATTAATACTACCATAAGGTAGCAATATATACACCAACCATTTAGTTGTAATTGTGAAGCAGCTATAAGGTTGACTATCATAACTACCATAAGGTAGAGTAGATTATCCTACCATAAGGTAGAAGCCACTGAAGGATAAGCACCCACCAAAAGTATAAATAGTGAACCTTTCTTTACTCAATAAAAATTATCTTTGTTCAGTCTTGTTAATCTACCTGTCTGAACAATCTCAAATACCCATTTGCAAAACACAATGCTCATCACTGTGAAAAAGCCAGTGTTTGAACCTGAAGTTAGAAACTCAATAGAAAACCTACAGACAAGATATGCATGGTTCATGGAATGGAAAGATTCTGATCTGGATTTTACAAGAAACTGCATCTTCATTGATAAGGCAGGTTTTCATATCAACATGAGAAATAATTGGGCAAGATAAAAAAAAAGGTAGCACTGCAGTGGTAAGGCAACCAAAAACCAGAGCTACATCTCATACAATCATTGGTACTATTCACTTGTCTAGTATCATCCATGTTGCCATCAGAAAGCCACCACCAAGAAAAGAAACACAGACTGCAAAAAAAAGGATAAAAGCTAATAATGGAAAGAAAAGATCTGCAACTGAAATTAGTACAGCAGATCCACAAGTTGATGATGACCCAGCCAATAATAAGTCAATACCAAAAGGTACCACTACAGTGCACTTTGTCAAATTTATGAATGAGCTTCTTGCTATCATGGATCATGATCAAACTTTCAAGGGAAGTTACATTGCTATGGATAATGCTTCTATCCATAAATCCAACCCAATGATATGTAAAATTAAAAGTAAAGACTATAAAGTCATTTACCTTCCTCCTTATTTGCCTGAATTAAACCCCATCAAACAATTTTGGGCAATAGTTAAAGGGAAAATGAAGTGTGATAGACTTATGAATGAAGAAAATGTGTCAAGCAGGATTGGCAATGCTTGTAATGATGTACTCATTAGTGACCTTTGTGATTATTCAGACAAGTAGAAAATAACAAGACTGAACACAGATAATTTTTATTAAGTGAAGAGTGGTTCATTATTTATACTTTCTGTGGGTGCTTATCCTTCAGTGGCATTCTACCTTTTGGTAGTTAATGATTAGTCCATGGCATAGCTTATTGATAGATGCAACTGTATGGTTGGTGTAGATGATTTATCCTATGGTAGTTTACATAGGTGTAGCTTTATGGTTAGTGTAGGTGTTCTACCTAATGGTAGACTACATGTTGGAGCCTTATGGTTGGTTCATTGAATAAGCACACTATTATAGAGCCATCTATTATGTCTTCACTTTTAATTGCCTTTGATAGGTCTTATTTAATCCACTAAGGATTTATAGATGAAGGCAGCTCATTAAGTGTCTGATAATAATTTGAGCTTAGAAGGTTGATTTGTAGTTACAACCAATCAGTGAGATGATACAGAGATGTACTATGATACTTGTGTGCACTCAAGCTTTCATAGAGTATTCTGAATGTCACAGCACACTACTTATGTTAACCTATTCATAGAGAATCTTTGGATTGAAGTCAGAACATGACAATTGGCTTGGGGGCATCTGCTCTTTACTGATCCAGCCATTGGCTACAAAAGCAGCAGCAACAGAAAAGGCAATGTGGGGGCACATATACTGGATGGCCTGTATGCATCTGTTCTCTTGGAGTCTTGCTGCCTCAATGCACATCTGCTCAACATTGAAGGTGGCATATTTTGGGTCTGCCAGATGCTTGGGGTCCAGAGGGTCAAAGTTCTTGTAGATATCTACCTTGGCCTTATTCAAGACTACAGTAAGAGACTCAACATACTGGACATGGACCAAAAGACCAAGAACAGAATGGGCAGGGAAACACACATCCAGGATTCTACCTGTTTCCAGGCCAAGGGTTCTCAGGAGACATCTTGCCTCTGGGCGGTTCATGCGTCTGCCTCTTGGAATGTACACATAAGTGTAACCTTTAGGACCTTCTTGGATGGTGAAGGCATGTGCAGCAGATTCCACTCTCCTAGTTGAAGGTGCTGGGCAGGTCTTTTTGGCTACAGTAGCCCATGTGGAGTCCTTGGCTGTCTTCTCAGCCTGTTGGTGGTTCTTTGGTGCCTGTGTCACCTCTTGTATCACAGGAGTTGCCTTATTAGTCAAGGCAGCAAGCTTTGCCTCAAGGGCTGCCACAGTCTCTCTCAGCTGCTTGTTTTCTTCCATAATGGCCTCAAAGGCCTCAAGTCTCTGCTTCTGATGGGTGTGCTCAGAAGCCATTTGAGCAAAGCTCTGTTGGAGTGACGTCACTGCCGAGATAAGTTGAGCTTCGGTGGTGGTGGTGGTGGCATTAGCCAAAAGGTGTTGTCCTGCTGGAGAAGAGAACATAGTGGATCTGGTCAAGTTTGAGAGCTGGAGGTCTGAAACTTTTGTAGAAGATAGTCGGGAGATGGGGGAAGATGGATTGATGATGGATGCAGATGGATGTAGCTTTTTGGAGACGGATGGACGTTTTTTTGGATTGAACTTATGAATTTTTAAAAAAAGTGATCTTTAGCAGAAAGAGAAGTTCTTCGATAGTATAGTGGTAAGTATCCCCGCCTGTCACGTGGGAGACCCGGGTTCAATTCCCGGTCGAAGAGTTTGTATTTTTATTCATTTAAGTATTGAGAAATTAATTTTTTCTCATGTTTTGAACCTTCACTATTCTTAAACATAAAGCTGTTATTAATAATAATAAAAAATATGGGGGGATGAAGAACATATCCCTCTAATACTATTGTAATGATAGGCAGGAGTAACTATCTGTTGGCTTTGAGGTTACTGAGACATTGATTAATATATATTGAAATAGCTAAATACAGTGTCAGGCAAAAAAATAATAATTTATTTTATTTTCTGGTATAATTCTTGTTTGGGGAAATACTTATTCTTTATAATATAAACACACAGTAGAGACTTGAAAATTGGATGAAGTATAAAGAAGGTCAACTGGATAATAAATACAGATTTATTGGTTGGAAACCCTTAATATTTGGTGCTTCCACCCTTGGCCTCAATGACAGCCCTGTATCTCTGATACATGCTGTTAATGAGGTTGGTGGTAAACTCCTTGGGTATCTTGTCCTACTCTTGGACCAGGAGAGCCTTCAGATCCTGAAGAGAGCTTGCTGGGGTCATACTCTTCCAAACTGCTCTGTCCAGTTTCTCCCAAAGATACTCAATTGGGTTCAGGTCAGGGCTTTGAGAGGGCCACCCCTCCATCATGACTATGCCTCTCTCATCCTTCCATTTCCTAGTCTCCTTACTAGTATGGCACCTAGCATTGTCCTCTTGAAGAACATAGCCTACCACTGGATCCAGTGCCTTAAGACAAGCCAGCTCAGGGCAATAGGCCATTTCTAAAATACTGGTGTATTTGGCACTATTGATGGACCCCTCCACCACAGCAAGTCTACCAACACTTTCACCAGAAAAAGAACCCCAGACCATCACACTGCCACCACCAAACTTCATTGTTGGCTTCACATTCTTTGGGAGAAGCCCCTCATTCTTCCTACAGACCACCCTGTTGCAGTTGTTGTTGCTCATCAACTGGAACTTTGATTCATTGGACCAGATGACCATTCTCCAGTCTTTCTTGGTCCAGTGAAGGTGGGCTCTAGCCCAAGCAAGCCTCAGCTTCTTGTGATTGTTGGTGAGAGCAGGCTTTCTAATCACACTGCAAGAAGACAGGCCAATCTTCTTCATTATTCTTTCAAAATTCCTCATGAACACTTTGGTGACCATTCCCTGGTGGTGCTCCTTCATGCTCTGGAAAGGATCCCTTGCCACCTTTCAAGAAACTTCCCTCTTGTCTCTCTCCAAGACAAACTTGCATCCAGAGCTCTTGCCTGCCTTAAAACAGCCAGTTTCCTTGTACCTCTTCATGATGAGGCTGATAGAGAGCTGACTGACACCAAACATAGCTACAATGTCTGTCTGTCTGGTGCCATTTATGGTGGCCTTGTGTACAATGAGTTTACAAGTAAAGTTGTCAATATTTCTCTTTCTGTTTCCAAGAGGCTTGGTGGTTTGTTTGGTGGTGTTAAACATGATAAATATGATAGTGGAAAAAAAGAAATGAGGAATGTGTAAAAAAAAGTTTTTTTTATTTAGCAAAATTAAAGTCAGAAAATGAAAAATATTTTAGTTTTTTGATGTAATACTGTATGACTCACACAAAATTAACATGGGTGGTCATTGTCCATAAAATAAAACCAAACTTACTTATATTAAGAACAGTGTATTCATTTATTGACTAAATATCTATAATCACCTCAATTATCTCATTGTAACAGGTATTAACAGTGGTGCTTAATGATAACAAGGTATTGTTTCTAATACTGGACTTTAGGCCCAAGGCAAATAGAGTGTGAATTGTTTGACTTGTGAGTTTGACTTTTTTTTGTATTCTTTATTGACTAGGCCAACACGTTATGACGTGTGGCACTTAAATAATAATAAAGGTCATATGGACCAAGCAAAAGGAAAGGAAGAAAGAGACTAGCTAAAATGAAAAATACATTGAGAAGAAAGAAAAGAAAGGAAGAAAAAAAAAGAAAAGAAAAACACTTCAAGACACCATAGAAAGAAGAGCCACCACCAAAGAAGAAGCCTTAATTGCCACAACACCAGGGAGAAAAGGAGCAGAGTCAAAAATAAAAGCCCAGTGGGCATGCCAAATTGCCTGCACTGTAGCAGCCACAACCAGAACACTAAGGTCAGCATCTGGCAGAGAAGAAGGACAACAAGAAGACAGCAAAGACTGGACATCCTTGAGATGCCAAGAAGGACACCAACAAGAGAGAACAACACTCCACACATGCCTCTTCCCAGAACAGAGAAACAGAAAATGATCCTGGTCTTCCACCAAAGAAGAAAAGAACAAGCAAAGAGGAGAAGAAAATTGGACAGGCAGGACATGGTGCATTCTGATGTGAATGGACAAACAACCCCAAAGAGCTTTCTACCAAACAGTGCAAGTGTTGTGAGGGATCCAAAGATTCCAGAAACACTTCCACACAACTGCAGAAGAAGAATGAGAGGACAAAGAAGGCAGCAAGTGGCAGCAAAGAGAAGAAGTGCAGGCCTTGACCAGACTTTGCTTGTTAATTTGTATGATCTCCAAAAGAGAAGAAAAGCCAGTGGATGGTGGAGAGGTGGAAGATGCCAGCACAAAGCCAGACAAGAACCACAGCTAGAGCACAATTTGCCCAGAGTCCAGAGCATGGAAGAAAGAAAGGATGCAATACTTTGCAAAACCCAATTGCACAATATGCTTCTGGCATAGATGACCAAAGCTATCCAGTTCAAAAGCATAGAAGACAAACACCTTGGCAAAGTTGAGCTTGGGTGCAACAAAAGGCAGAAGGAAACCCCAAACAGTGGACAGAGGCAATGTTAGCAGGGTAGGAGCATCCATACTAACATGCATTGGGAGAGAAGACACAGGCAAAGAAGAGCAACCATGATGAATTGGGTGCAGAGCAGACAGACAGTTGCACAGATGGCAAGGGAACAGAAGAGCAACAGAGGCAGAAGGTGCTTGGAAGTACAGAGGCAGAAGAAAATCTAAGTAGCTAAGTACAAAAGAAGTAGTAGTAGTAGACAAAGAAAAAAAAGAAGAAGAGCTGGTTAAGAGAGGAAGGATCCAATGTAATTGGAGAGCCTTTTGCTGACTGGCAGGGTCTAACAAACCAATGCCACCATGCCTACAAGGTTGGCACAACAGATCCCACCCAGGACTACCAAAACTGAGGTTAAGGTATCCACAAACAAGTCCACAGACAGCAGCAAAGAAAGAGATGGGAGCAGGGGTTACATATATGATATGCCAGAGAGTGCTGAGGAGCAAGGAATTGGCCACAAGGCTCTTACTCCAAACAGAAAAGTGATGCTGCAACATGATGTTGCATTGCCTCTCCAACTTCTCCAGAAGAGCCAAATGGAAGTGATCCAACTGGGCTGGGTGCAATGACAGAGGAAAGCCAAGGTAATGGACAGCATGGACTGCATGACTATCATGGCAACATGATATGTCAGAGGCATCCAGCACAGGACCCCAGTTGGGAACAAAATGCTCTGAAAGAGCAACCAAAATGGTCTTGCTGAGGTTGACCCAAGCATTAGATGCCAGGCCAAACACTGAGAGAATCTCAAGAAGAGAAGCAAGCTCACCAGGAGACAAAAGGAAAACCAGAAGGTCATCAGCATAAGCCAATGCCTTCAAGGGAGGAGGTGGAACCAGAGGAGCAACAGAGGACAACAATGGAGGAACACCAAAACAGAAGCCTCAAAGAGAAGAGGAAGCAAGAATGGTGTGGAGCAATGGCTCAAAGGCAAGGTTAAATAAAAGAGGAGAGAAAGGATCTCCTTGTCCCAACCCACAACCCTGAGGGAACGGGGAGGACACAAAGCCATTCACATTGATGTGAATCTTGGTTGAGAAAAACAACAAGCACACAGTGTCCACAAAGACCATAGGAAAACCAAAACAAGAGAGCACCAAACAAAGATGCCCTGGATGTACCCAATCATACACCTTCTCTTGATCCAGCAAGAGAGCAACACCAGGATCCTTTGCTAATTGGGCATGTTGCATAACAAGGCACGTTAGCAAACCATTGTCAGCAATAAAATAATTGGCCATGAAACCCATTTGATAGGGAGTAATCAGAGGGCCAAGACAAAACCAAAGTCAAGAAGTGATGATCTTGGTGAAGATCTTAGCACCACAGTTAATAAGTGAAATGGGATGCCAATTCTTCAAAAGAGAAGGGTCACTAGCCTTTGGTAAAAGTACCAACACCATTTCCAACCAAGAAGGAAAAACACCAAACAATGCATCCTGATACACCTGTTGAGCCAACTCTTGCACAAAGGAATGTCTGAACAACCTTCTCCACAAGGGATAGGGAAGTCCATCCAAACCAGGGCTTGAGTTGCTGGGTGTATTGTTCAAAATAAACAGGATCTCTTCAAGAGTAATCTTGTCAAGCAGAGAGGCAGAAGACAAAGCAGACAAAAGAGCAGAAGAAGGAATGTTGTTGAGCAAAGACTCACCAGAGACAAAGTCAATGGGGTCTGCAGTGTACAGGTCTTGGTAGAATTGGCGTGCATGCCCAAGCATATCTGCCATTGAGGAAAAAAGGTCACCAGAAACAGGATCCCAAAGTGAGGTAATGGACTTTACAGTCATTCTTTGTTTGATAGTCCTAAAAAAATAGGAATTGGATTGCTCACCCTGTTCACACCACTTGACACCAGCATGCTGGGCAAGATTGGTGGTTTGGGTCTGCTGTAAATTGGCAAGGTCAGCCTCAACACTAGAAAGATCCAGAGAGGGCAACAAAGAAAGAAGTTGGGTGTGAGTGTGATTATTCAGACAAGTAGAAAATAACAAGACTGAACACAGATAATTTTTATTAAGTGAAGAGTGGTTTATTATTTATACTTTTTGTGAGTGCTTATCCTTCAGTGGCTTCTACCTTATGGTAGATATGATAGTCAACCTTATGGCTGCTTCACAATTACAACTAAATGGTTGGTGTCTATATTACTACCTTATGGTAGTATTAATAACTGTCACCTTATGGTTGGC